TTTATGGTCTTTTTTCTCTTCATATGTCATTGAAAATATTATTATTTTACTTCTTCGAGTCTTCGAGTAAGAGGTTCATTCAATCCTTTTTCATTTTTTTTTTTTCCACATTCATCTGTTTTCTAGAACACAATGAAACCTAAATATAATATGATGTTTTTGTTGACCGCTGGTGGAAAATTCAATTATCAAGGTAGTCGCCAGTGGCTAGAAGAGCATATTGATAAGCAGAGCGGTAATTATTTTTAGCAAATTAGGTTTAATCCTACTTTTGCAATAAATTAGGAGGCAGATATGTATAACGCAGCAGAAAAGAAATGTGATTTCTGAAGTTCTGACTGTTAAAGATGAAAAAAAATGGGTGACTAAGTTTGCGGAGTTTGTCATCTGAAGATAAAGGCGTATATATTAAAGTTGTTTTGCAGAAACGAATGTCGAACTTGTTTTATGTCTTGACTCAGTGGGTAAAGATGGTAGCCTTATAGCGCATGTATCAAAGATGCCTGCTGAAACATCTCCTGTTGGACGGTTTTTCTTGCTACTGAAAGATGCTACACCTCCAAATCGAAGTGTAGAAATTGTGTCGAAGAAGATTAACCTGAATGCCGATGTACTTGCATGGGAACATGAAAGGTACAATTTTCCATCTTTTTCTACAAATACTGAAAGTTCTTGAAATGTTTCAGTAATTGTTGAAAGATTGTCGTTGGAAAAGAACTCGTTCCGCTTCCTTAAGAGAACCAATTATTGCTTATTTAGTTGATCTCAAATTCTAAGTTCAGCTTATTGTCTGTTTGAAAGAAACTCAAAGCAGATGCCCATATATATATATATAGTTGTTATTATTAGATTTAAATGAGAGTTACAACATATAAAATTGCTGTTTTGTTTTAAAAAATTAGTCGAGAATTCTATTTCGGATGAATCTGATTTACCATTAGAGTTTTCAGATTTTCAATTCAACGTTTACCTGCTCTCACGCTGTCACATTTCAAATCACATACTGATTCTGGTCGAAATTCATTTTTGGATACACCATCACAGGTCGATATGGAAGTTTTGGAAGTATGGACATTTTCAGACTAACTTCTTTACCGATCTGTTTAATTTATTTAATTGAACTGTTTTTCTTGAAATCATAAAATCGCAGTAGTCCTTCGGAAATGATATCAGTTCATTACTTGTGTATATATATATATATATATGTGTGTGTGTGTGTATGTATGTGTATGTGTGTATTCGTGTATGCATGTGTGTGTGTGTGTGTGTGTGTGTGTGTGTGTGTGTGTGTGTGCAGTAATATTTTACACTGGAAATATACATGTAGATATAGTAAGAACGGACGGACGGAAACGTTTCATACACTTCCTGTTGTTGATGAATCTAATTATAATTTATCTCTCAGCAGGTTTACTTTATTTTTATTATTTTTATAATCATTTAAATCGTTAAGTTCGAATAGTTTCCAGACAAATGTGCGAACTATTGGTGAAGCTCTTTTGATGTATGTTTTAAATTTGCCAAATGCGAAATGTGCGCGCGAAGAAAATGTTTCAACTTGTTCAATTATGGCACCGGGAGATATTAACAGAAAACGATTATCAAACTGGATGCGACAGTTTGGAAGCAAATCTCGTTCTTTGGCTGCTAATAACGATTGGCTTATATCTAATCTTAGGGATACTGTAATTAGGTATGTTATGTTATCACAATCAAGAATAGAAGAAAAGCGCTTCCTTATTTAATTAGATTACATCACGGAATTGATGGTACTTGAATCGTTTCTTATATTTCCACTATAATATATATATTTATTTATTTTATTAAAAATATATTATTCAAATTATTCAATGATATATTACTATTACTTTTTTATGGTTTCTGTTCTAAAATTAAAATTAGACCACCTGAATTTGATTGTTTATTGGGTTTTTTATTCTTTCAAAATATAATGATTTCAATTATATGTTGTTAGTATAGGTAGTTTTCGTAATAAAATATCACTTTATGATACATCTGTAGCAAATACGTTATCTTAGGCAGTTTATATATTGATTCCAGGTACACTTCTGGACAAACTGTAGTGGAACCAGTTTCCGTAGCAGAAGTATCTCTTTATGGTATACTCGAAGATCGCTTAACGGCACATCGAGCGAAACCAGCAATCTTTGAACTTTTGTTAGCTGCTATTATAGCGCTTTATTTATCAGCGTTATATTTTGTTGCACCGGTGTTACAGACATCCGTTGAAGCAGTACTTGTTAAGTTTAAAAAATTATGATACATTGATCTCATTTTGACATATTAAATTTTCGTACAGCACTGGAATGGTACAATAATTAAGATACTTAATGTCAAAGATGCCTTATCTGTTGATTTTGGGAGTCTTCTGATAAACATTACGCATATCTATAACAAATTCCGGTGCTCCCTTTGATCGTGGTATCATGTAGTAGTTATAGATCTGGTACTTACGAGGTATTCTTTGTTATTTTAATAGTTGTTTTAGATTATTACTAGTAAATTTATAAATTGTAGTACCATTATAGAAATAAAAGTTTCCTTATGTGTGTCGTACATTGCTAAAAAAAGGGTTTGTCTGAAGAACCAAATTGTCATATGTAGAAATAAAATCCCATTAAATGCATGGATAAAGTCCTGTTTGAACATTCCCTAGACAAGTGTTTCGATGTCATACAAGAAATCATCTAATTCTTCCATGTATCCAAACTTATTTACATTATTTGTTATCAAAGAATAACAGGGTGTTGGGATTAGTCTCCAATTAGATTGTTTACAATTATTAGATTCTTATTTAGTTGACCTCTTTTGTTGTTTGTCGATTCCTTACTAACTGTAAATTGTATTCCAATTTTACAAGGTTTACACTTCGTTTATTTGACCTCATTTACGGCATTGTAAAATTAATACATCTTGTTATAAGTTAATGCTTATTATATAAAAAGTTACATCCTTTATCAAGGCTATCGTAATCTGGCATTCACTACCCCTCCTACAATTACCTCAAACTTTCTTTGTTTAATAATTGCGATCAGCGATAATTTTTATTTCAATATAATAAATTGGTCAAATGTTGCCTTCTGTACAATTTATTCAAATCAACGTAAGGTTCGATATGAACCAAATATTGAGATGAATTTCTTCATCACAATTTAATTCAAATCAGGGATATGAATTACATAGATGTATGGGAGAAAATTGCCATTGTACATTTTACTTGTAATTGTTATAGTCAAATAACATTGTAAAATATTATATAATAGCAGTTTTATGCAAAATATGATAGTACGTTAACGTTAGGAATAAAAATTGTATTAAAAAAGATAAAATTTCTAGAAGTCTATATGTGTTATCAATTAATAAGCCATTATTTTTTTTTTTAATCATACAACAAATGCAATGTTTAATTTCTTTTAAATTACAAAATTGAAATTTTGGTGAGTAGTAATAAATATATGCTGGCGATGATATAAGTTTTCTAATAGAAATTTGTAATAGAAAGACAAATTTGTTCAAATATAAGAATAGTTAAATTTGTAATAACGTAATTTAAAACATCTAAATTACTCGTTAGTGTTTGTTAAAATTTGGAGCATTTAATGCACTTATTGAAAAGATAGCTTAATTCAACTGAACTTGAAAATTAAAAATTATTTTTATATGCAGTATATCTTAATAATTTTACATTATTATTTTTTTTTTTCAGTAAATAGATGATTTTTGATAAATTTTCCCCGACTCCTACAAAATCTCTTCCTAAAATATAGTAATTACAGGTGTGATTAGTCTGAATCTCTACTACTACTACTAAAAAGTACCTTAAGTTAGATCACAAATTATTCGAATTAATAATCGCAAGTATCTTTCTGAAGAATATTAATTATTGTTTTCTTTTCTTTTTGAAAATTTGAAATTTCCAATAAATTTGCAAAATACTGAAAAGCGTTCATACAAATTTTGAATTAATTACTTACACTAAGTTTACTTGAATCGAAAAAATATATTTGTTAAATTTTAATTACGGCGATTAAATCAAACTTTTTAGCATTATTTTATTTTACAAATAACAAATTTATCAATATCATTGCTTATTTATTTGTTTACATCTTTTTTTATTTACTTGTTACCGCTTACTTCTCCTTTATTACTTATTAATCACTTTTATTATTTTTTTTATTTGCTTATTAATATAAAATTTACTTGTTTACTTCGCTTATTACTTATTAACTACATCATTTAGTTTATTATTCTTATTTGCTTATTAATATAAAAACTATATGAAACAGCAACTTTTCAATTCGTGTTTTCTAGTTTGTATATTAAATTTTATTTGAGCAATACAAATTGCGATGATTTTTTATATTCAAAAAAATATTAAAAGGAAAATATTACACATTTTTAATACTGGATAGCAATAATTAGCTAATCACTTTCCAAAAATTAATCATTGGAATGTAATAGGATAATTTTCTCGTGAAAGTGACACGAATTTAAAATATCCGGAAAAGTGATATAAAATTAGCAAAAAATTTTTAAACTTTTTACTAAATTTATTAGATATTGTTTGGAAGCGAAAATTTTTTTTTTTTGATGTAAATGAATATTTGTTTGATATTAAAATAATAACGTTGCATACATAACTAACTTATTTACTTGTACTGCGAAATCAACTGATCATCTTTTATGTTATTTTACCATAAAAAGATCAAATTCCAAATTAGTGGTAAACAAAAGTTTTTCACCAATTTTTTAGAAATATTTCTTTTAAATTATAGTGATCGTTGCAGGGGTATACCTGATCCGGTTAAATAATTTATCTTTCTACTTTTATACTTTGAAGAAAGCATACAATTGCTACTTTAGCACATATAATTAGCAATTTATCATTCCACAAAAGATATAATACCTATTACGAATGATTAATTGAAAAAATTTAAATATCCTTCCTTAATTCTGTTAAATATTAGTTAAAAAGAAAATTATTTATATTTTATTTTACAATCATATTCGCAAAGTACCAAATTAACATTTGTTGGATATTCGCAAGGTATCGCACGTGCATAGTTATCATTGGTATCTAAGAAAAAAAACTATAAAATTATCAACAATAAAACTGATTAAATTAATTCGTTTTTTTTTTTTTTTTTTTTGAATTTTTTGAAAGTTATAGTAATTTGTTTAGCTTAGCTTTTTTTTTTTTCTTTAAATGCTAATACATATATAAATGAATAGAAGTGATCAGATTAATATAAACAAAGCTTTTTTTTAAAAAAAAACTTATCTCAAAAAATGTCAAATTTTATTTGCTTTTATTTTCCTACAAATGAATAAACAAACTAACGTGTCCAGATGACAAATCGATGACAATGTATTTCAGTTGTATTCAAATAAGGATGAAATGTTGGATCAATCCAAAATGGCATTTCATCGTATAAGCTATCATAAGATGAATCCCACGAATTTAAATACGATCCGTTATTACCGGTTGTCCAAATGAAACCCATTCCTCTCATATGAATTAAACCAATTAATATTGGTATATGTTTAATATGAATTTGATTCACTTCCAAAAATGCTAAAAATCATAAATGAATTCGTATATTCTTAATTCGATATCAAATATCATTCCTAAATATTTCCATTTCATTTTATATTAATGAAAAATTTAATAATAATTGGATAATTATTTTAAAAAGTGAAAAAAAAAATGTGTAAAAAATAACATTCTGTAAAATTTCTTAATATTGAAATTTGTTTACGATTACGTATACGAGCGCTTATCCATGGAAATTTGCTTGAACACATTTTATTTATTAAATTATAGTGCAGTGATACCTAAATTTTTGAATTGATTTATTGAAATTGGAATTAATATAATTATGGGAATTAATTTGCAATTTAACCAATCATTGATTACACATTTAACATTAATATGAATCAAAAGTTAAGTAAGCAAATAAGTAAATACGTAAATATTTTTCAGATTAAAAAAGTAACAAAATTATTATATTAGAATTAGCAGTTCGAAAAAACTATTCGGATTATTTATAGGAGTGGAAAGGATGAAGAAAACAGTGCAAAACAAAAATTAATCATTTCTAGTAGAGTAATCATTAAAATTAAAATAAAATAATAGGTGTAAAGCAAATAATTAAATATGTTAACTTTTCAACCAAAAATTTTTAATTAAAACTTGTTTAGAAAAAAAACTTTTTTTAAACAATAAAAGAAAGAAAAAGGGAAACTAACGTTCTTTTTAATTGAAATATTTAAAAATAAATTATAACAAATTATTCTGTTTTCATTTCTTTTTTTTGCTGAATAACTTACTGTTCGTTTGAAATATTTAATAATTGGTACATAGCATATCTTTCTGTTATTATATTCCCATAAAAGATACGAACATTCGTTAGACCAATCTGCTAAATTCACTTTTGCTTGATTTTTTTTTTTTTTTTTTTTGCAAATCAGTAATTTAATTAAAAATTTTAATTAGTGTTAATTAGTGTTACCTTTCTCTATAAATTTCTACTTAGTATTTTATCATAATTAAATAAATCGTGGAACTCTCCACTAATTTATCAATGTCACTATTATCACTATTATTGTTATTACTATTATTAGTAATTATCGCAAAAATAATTGTTCGTACATAAGTCAATCGTTTCAGTTACTTTTTGTACCTGTTAAATTTGATTCGATGTTATTACCAGTATTACTGATATTTGAAATATTATTTACATTTACATTCTTTAATAAGTTTCCTGTTTTGAATTGTAAATATTTCTTATCAGTCATTTTTGTTGTTGACTTGATATAATTCTTAAAATGAAATTATTTACATCATTGATATATTTGTTATCAAAATAACTATCGCATTGTTATCACTGATACTATTTTCATTTATCACAATGATCATTGATGTATATCACTTCTTCCTCCTCATACTTTGTAGTTTTAAAAGATCATAAATGTTATTTAAAGCCTTATACAATCTAAAATTATACTACTACCATCTGTTGTCGAAATTTAAATTTTAAAAGTAAGTACTATTTAACGAATAGAGTTACTTAAGGTAAAATTGCTTCTCTTCTCTTAGCGAAATTCAGTCATATTCTGTTCAATTTAATATTATTTTAAAGTATATATTGCAATAGATAAATAATCTGCCTTGATTGTTAGCCATTATCACTATCATATGTCTATCATAATTATCACATATTTCTTAACAAATAATCATCCAATTATGAATTTTAATGTAATAATTTTGATGATAAATTCCTAAGCAAAAAATTAATTAATCTCTGTGCAATTAGTACTAAGCTTTTCGATACTTTTCGGATTGATATAATATTCTGAAAGGATTAATTGAGATTTTACTAAAAAAATTCAGAGAAGAAGTCACTATAGCATAATAACAGATGCGAATATATTGTGATATCATTGCATCGCATTTATTTGCTTTTAAAATTGGTCCTTTTTCTGGAAAAAAAAAACAATTCACAATGAATAGTGCAAATAGTTAAATTAAGAAATTATCAAATTTCTAACAATAAATAATGCTAATGCTTTAATTAACAAATTTCAAAAATCGAACAAAATTTTTAAATCTAATTTTTTGCAAAAAAGTCGATTATATAAGATTTTTTATTTCACTAATGATATCTTCGAAAAAAAAAAACCATTGCAAAAGATCACTAACTAACTGTAAAAGTTTTAAATTGATAACATTTTTAAGAATGATTGCCTTTGTATTAATGTTTAAAAAGAAATTTTACAGTTAATTGGAATTTAATTTTTATTTCTTTCATCTTTTGCAATTAATTTCACTCATAAATTGTAAGTGGAAAGAAAGTTATTTTACTAGAAGACCTTATTATTTGCTTTTTTTATATGTGTAAAATGTAAAACTAATATCGAACATTGAAAAAAAGGATTAAAATGAAATAAAGTAAAAATTAATTCATTATATTACCTTTATTATAAGTTAAAAAAAATTTTAAACATATATCAGTGGTATTGGTTTGATTAATCAGTGATAATATTGATTCATCTATAACATTTGTATTATTGGACCAAAAGAATCCATTAATCATATCAAATGATAACCCTGTTGTTGCGTCAATTTCTTGTGATTGATAAATTTTAAAATGTTGTTGTAAATGTAAATTTAATACTTCCATATTTTGAAATGTTAAAAATAATGCTGGTTCCATGCTTACATCGTAATATTCTTCTAAATGTTTACAGCCTTGTGCATCACTTACTAAATCCTATAAAATTTTAATTTCATTACTTAATTAATTACTTTGTTAACTTATTTTGGATTATTTCTTTGCCATGATAGATTTTATTAATTTTAAAAATTTAAAAAGTTATAAAAATAATTCAAATGATGAAAAAAAATTTTACGTTTCTAACTTTTCTTTTCACCTCTTTTTCCCGAAGTAAACAATTTTAATTTTTCATGCTTAATAATTAAGAATGTTTACATAGTGGTTTGTGTGATTGATAAATTCCATAATATAACAAAGGATTATTTCTTTGCCATGATAAATTTCATTAATTTTAAAAATTTTCCCTTCATTATTTATCCATTGAACTGTAAAAACTATTTGTAATTAGTAAAATCGTAAAACTGATATTCAAAATACAATGTTAAAAATTTTTTAAGCATTAGATAACAACTTTCAGTCTCAATTTTAATATTAAAACAATTTTGTAATTTAAACTTTAAATTCGTTAAACTAGAAGTTATTTCTTTTTAAAAAATTTAGCATACTCAGAGTTAGCAAAAATTTTTAAATCAAAATTAGCACAAAGTATAGCGCTGATTATGAGAACTTTCTGTACTTCCGTATAAATGAAAAAATTCAAAATATACATTACTCATTTGAAAAAAGAAAAATTATTTAATTAAATATTAGCAATTTAAAATTAAATGATATAATTTTCAGATGAGACTAAAATTAAAGATATTTTACCTAATGGATTAGCACATTCACAAGTTATTCCATTCAGTGAATCACATCGTCGTCTCAAACTTTTATTATCTAATTGATTAGCATACAAAGAAATGAAAATCATTGAAATGATTATCATATGAAGCATTTCCACCACTAATAATAATTTAATAATTTAAAAAAAAAAAAATGTGCCATTTTATAATTTTTGATGAAAAAAAAAGTTTATCGAATTAAAATGTAAATTTGCGATTTCAGAAAATTCATTTTATTCCAACTTTGCATTAATCAGATTTGTTAGGGTAATAAATGCAAAAAGCGGTTGAGTTAATTATTTTTTCTCAAAATTTAATCCTTTCTATCAAAAAAAAAAAAAAATTAAAATTTGTGAAATCAAATTTTTAAACATTTTTTTCTTTTTGCCAGAGTGAATATTTTAAGTTTAGTCGAAAATAACCATATAATCATAAATAACTTAACTTGCAACTTAGGTTTAATAAATCCTTTTAAATATTTCATATTTAATAAATCCTTTCAAAAATTATAATTACCATCTGAATATGTTAACTAAATTATTTTCCTTATTATAAAAAATGTTTTTCAATAATATTTTTTGTTCAAAAATTATTGAATAATTTTACCTACTAATCGTCATTTTTTTTCATATTGTATAGTTTATTTTTCCTGTATTTACAATATGATTAATTGTATTTTCTCAAAAAAAATAATTTTTTTTTTTTTTCATTGCAATATTTTTGTTTACTATATATTCTTTTAAATCTAATCAAAAAATTTCTTAATTTTAATTTAAATTTCTTAAGTAGTTTGTTTTCAATTTATTATTTATTTTTTTGAATATTTTTTCTTAAATATATTTTTGACATTTTTTTTTTTTAAATAAATAGAAGCAATGAATTTTCATTTTTTTCAACTTAAATTTAATTAAATTCATCTAATTTTAATCAAATTTGTTTAAATTTAATTAAATTTAATCAAACTTTTTAAATTTTGATTAATTCTCTTCAAAATTTCAATAATATATTATAAATAAAATGAAATGATAAATGGGAAATAAAAGCATTCAAATGAACAAAGAGCGCACATGCGGGTGGTATCAGAGAAATAGCCTTTAGACATTAGCGCAATTTTTGTTACAGTAAACAAGGCGGGAATGACGGATTCAAAAGGAACGAAGGGAAGACGAAGAGGGAAGGAAGTGGGATGAAAGGTGGAGGTTAATAGATGGGAATGGATTGATGGATTGGGGATGGTGATTTGTTGATTGATAAGTGATAAGTAAAATAGGATGATTTACCTTTTTGATAAGGAAATGATTGGTACAATATGTGATTATCGTAAATGTGTCGCAGTAAAAAGTATTGATTATTTGTAAAAATGATAATGTATCGTGTGATATAGGATAAAGCAGTGATAAGTGATGATAACTAATACTATGAAAATGTCAAACATTTTTGAAATGATAATAAATGAAATTACAATTAGGTGATCATAACATGTCACAATATCGACGAATTATTATCAGTGATTCTTCAACTGACGATGACAATGATAATGATGATGAAAGTGATAAGGATATTGATGAAGTACAAAGTGATATTTACGAAAATGATGAAAATAGTGGTGCCAATATTCAGTAAGTTTATTGTTGTAATAAGATGATTTATTATTGTAAAAAGTTGTAAAATTTTATTTTATGTATTTCGAAATTAAGATGAGTTTGGTATTTTTTCTAATTCAAAATAAGTTAGCTTAATTTATTCTGATTAGTTATTAGCAATTTATGATTCAAAAAAAGTGGCAACATATTGCTAGTAATAATTAATAAGAAATATGGGAAGTTTTGATTAAATGATAAAATTCAAATTGTTTCAAGGATTAGATTTGAATTTTCTAATAACAAATTTATGTCTTTATTAAAAAATAATAAAAAATTAACAGAGACATAAGTCGTTTATTGGAAACGTTGAGTTTCACGAGACGAAACACGTATGGACATCGAGTTGATCGTACGGATGATGAAGCAACAAGCGTCAGTGACGATACTTATCTGGAAGATAGTTTTCTCGTTAAGGATTATACTTCTGAAGGTTTTATTCCTTAATTTTCAATATGCCAATATCTAATTAGATTAAGCTGTAATTGGATTAAAATGTCTAACTAGGTTAAATAATAAAATCTAAAAGCGGAATTTTTTTTTTATTTCAGAGAATTCCTCAAGTATATCAAACGATGAGCAATCCTACAGAAAGAAAGAAAGCACTTACAATCGACAACGGCAAAAAATTATACGAAAGGAATTAGAAAAGGTTATTTAAGACTTGAAGAACTGATCGATGGGTTAAATATTATACGTAAAAGCGTTTTAATGATTTATTGTCTTTTATTGATCACCTTTTGCAGGAAAGCGCGGAATTTTCGTCATTTTTCAAAAGCGATCTTTCGGATGCAAGCATTGATAGCAAAAAAGTTTCAACACTATTTGAGTTATATCCCGAATTGAAAGAGAATGTGAATCTTAAGAGGTATTTTGTTATGTAGCGGATTTTGATGGTGAATTTTTTTAAGTACTGTAAAGTACTATAATGCAAGATGAATCAGGCATTAAATTAGAGTAGAGTAAAGCCTAACAATTGAGGTCAAGTAGAAATTGGACAAATTTAACGGATAATACGGTTGAGTTATATGCAGCTATAGCTAATAGTTAATTGTTAAATTTATCTTTAAAAAAATGATCACTTCAATATCGTAATAAATGTAATTGATATATTAAGAAGATAGTAGCCAAGAAGCTCTCACGGATTAAGATTAACGACCAATAACTTATAACAGCAACTTAGAAAGTCAAGAATAGATCAAAGAGGTGTTAAAATGATTAATGCTTAGACACATTATTATGAATTTCCTGGGTTTTCTATTTCAGAAATTCGTTGAATAATTACGGTAACAAAATATGCAATGAACTTGCACTATCTGATGAGGATAGTGATGAGAAGTTTGAAAAATGTATGTCTCATACTATATTTCTGTAATGCTTTTTCTTGAGGAAAATTTTCGAAAAAATTTGCATATTGATTAGTGAGTGGCCAAGTGTGGATAGTGGCATTTTGTATAGACGCAATGGTTCGTGCTTCTCGCTTGTAACCTATTAGTACGCTGGATTCGAACGCTTTTTTTTCTTTTATTTTGAAATGAAAATTTGTAAAATTCCAATTTCCAGACTTGAAAGAAGTCAAAACTCAATCATCTGTTACAAAAACGTATAAATCACACGATTTAGATGGGTAAATTTCGTCTTGATTGTATAGTTTTATCCTTTTTGTCCCAATTTTTTTTTTTTTTTTTTTTGCTGGAAATTCTTTCTAATTTAAAATAATATAGCAGGCATTGATTATAACATGTTAATAATTTTTTTTATTTAGCTCCACTTGCTATTGCTTCCTGTTTTTACAAATTGTCATACATAGATTCATCTTTTTTATCTCAGAATGTTTACTGAATATTTAAAAAAAAGATGTCTCAATCCTCGGGAACGTGTATGAAAGCCTGTTGAAATTTGATACAAGTTTTATAGTTATTTCAAACTATATCGCTATTCATTAAATACTAATTAACTGTAATAAGTGTTCAGTGAGAATGGTAATTCTTAATGTAGTTATTAGTATAATCTTTCTTAACGGATAAATATTAATCAAGATTTAACAATTTATTTTTTCAGGTTAATCATGTCTGATAGCGAGTTCAACGTTGAGTGTAACTCAGAATGCGAATCAAGCTCAAGCGATGATGTACAGCTAATTGGTGAAGTAATTAATAATATTGGGGATGAGAAAATTCGACATCTCCCAAAAAACATTAGCAATGAGTATGCAACATATTGGCATCATCCGCCAATAGAAAGTAATATTTTGAATGTATATATCTGTAAATTTCTAGGATTTCAAAAATTTTTGAGGAGAAATGGTATGCTATTCATTGAGTCTAAAGAAGTTTATCTGGCAGTAACAGCAATCGGAAAATTTATATTAATGTGTCTAAATTTTCCACCTATTATTTCTATACTTTTCAGAAAACATAAACAAAGATAAACATGCCAATATGCTTTTGGAATCACAAAGTGTATCAAATACTCAGAAAACGGTGAATTTGCTTTTCTTTTTTTTCATCATGATTCAATTTAAACTATTATAATGATATTAAATAATGCTGGAAAAGGAAACAGCAGAGAGTTATGTGAATTAATTCAGAGTTATCAAGATGATGATGAAATTTTCCTTTTGGCTCTTTCACAAAATGGTCCTGTACATCGAGTTGCTCAAAAATATACCACGGCTAAATTTCCACGAATTCGAAAAGAATTGACGGCGAAATTGTTTGATGTGTATAGAAGACGCTGTTTCGAAAATAAAGTAAAATTTGATAAATTTTGAATCCTTTTCATTGATTAAATTGTATGCACGTAGTATGTAATTTTGAGGGAGAAAATTCCGATTTTCATTTTGGTTTCAACTGAATTTAATTTATGTTGAATTAACAAAATTTCAGTTAGATCCAAATATGGTACTAAATTGGAATGCACGATTACGACTAACAGCAGGTCGCTGTCGTTGCAAACCAAATGGCACAGCCGATATCGAACTTTCCATCAAAATTTGTGATACTCCAGGTAGATCACCGTTCATTTTGCTTTTCAAAATATAACAAAACTTGTATTTTACATGCAAAATAAATAATCAATTGTTTTATCTCACTTAATTTTATAATTTTATAACAATTAATTATGGGACATATTGATCAGTATTTTCCTTCTCATATAAGAATAAAAGAGCTTCAAAAAGATATGCAAATGAAGTAAATTTGATTGTAGAACGGCTACGTGATACATTGTTACATGAAATGTGCCATGCTGCAGTTTGGGTCATCGATCATATCCATAAGGGTAGACATGGACCGGCATGGAAATACTGGTAATTCAATTGCTGAATAATACTTTAAATATGCTTTGGACTTCATGAATATTCACTAAAATAAGATTTTACTTCTAGTTTCAATTTTTGATGATATTGAAACGAAGTTGAAAAACATGCTACACCGGTTGAGCGTATACATAGGTCCTCAATTTATAGCTTATGTACTGGGAACAAGCTGCAAATATTACATTTTAAACTGATTAACAAAAAAAAAAAAAAAGAACTTGGTAAAATATGACTTATATCAATATGCTCATGAAAATTTGAATAATAATTGGTGAAACTAAGCATGCATTTGAAAAAAAAAAAAAAAGATTACTTAATAGGTTGATAATTAGCTTCACATAATTAATAAAAATATTAGAATGAAGAAAGCAATAGTAAAATTTTTATACCAAAGCTGTTTTGCATTCAGTTTATACATATTCAGTGGGTTATTTCTAAATTTATGATTCACAATTTTTCAGGGTGCATCGATGTCAAAAAGTGTTCCCATCTTTGCCACTTATCGAACGATGTCATAATTATATAATTGATGCCAAATATTTATATGTTTGTGATCGTTGTGGACAGACGTTAGTCTTAATTTCTGCAAGTGTTAAAGTGATATTTCAAAGGTTAAAAAAAAATGCTGATGTTGGAATAAAGAGAATATATATGAATTCATTATGTATTCCAAATTCTTTCCTTTAAACATTCATTGGTTTGCATTTTACATTGTCATTACTAATATACAACAGATACTGAAAATATCTGATTAAATTTCAGAATCAAACGACATTCAAAATCGCTTGATATTGATCGTAAAATCTGTGGCATTTGCCAGGGACATTTTATCCTAAGATCGCGTGATGGAAAGGAATTCTTGAGAAGGCGAGCCAATACATTTGCACAGTTTGTAAAAGAAAATTATGGAAAAGAACGAAAACCTGGTGTGAAGCCTGCAGAAATCATGAAGATTTTATCATTACGCTTCAAAGAAGTTTCTTTTTTTTTTTTTTTTTTTAAAAATATCAACCAATAGCACCACAGATAGTAATAATTGTTCACTTGTTTCTCATTAATTTTGAAATGTTGCAGCAGAAAGGAATGGCTTCCGAAACAGGAGAAATTATTACTGTGGAATAATAAAGAAAAAATTTCTCTCACTGTTGGCAGTTTTTCCTATTTTTGTTATCAATTTTTTTAATATTTACAATTGAAATTTACATTTTGTTAATATGAAAATTTTGGATCTTAAGTATACTAATTCGGATCTTGAAAATTTGGGAATTTCAAGATCGTGTAGTTCTCATAACAGTTTAGGCTAATCTCAAGAAACTGAATGAGAGAAATTATTTCACTTTTTTTATTTGGATTTCTGAAATGGACAGAATAAGTTCTACAATCTTTGATATGAGCATTTCAAGGACATAAATCCTTGTTGTTAAAGCTAACAATATTTACAACTGTTGTTAATTTCATTTGTTTTTTTTTTTTTTTTTTTTTTTTTGATTATTATGTCATTCGGTGAACAGTGCAAATGAAATATTTTAGTAGATACTGATTGTATTTCTTGCGATCTTGCTGTAATCCGTATGAAACATTGGAAAATATCATTTTTATAATATTATTAAATCATGAATATATGAAATCATTACTTCGCATTGATGTCGATGAAAAAGTAGTAGCATAAGAATGATCGGCAACAAAACTTTCTCTTGCATTATCGTCAATTCCATAATATCTTTGAAGAACAGGATGTGTTGGCGCAAAACATTTCTTATCTTTTAGACTAACTATTGAACCAGATGGAATACCAAGAAATAGTTGATCAGGCCTTTTTTCTTCCCATTGTTCTCGAGCAGGTTTTCTCTCGTATCCCATAATTTGAGCCAAATCCTCCTCCGCTTTGATCAAATCTTCCGGGTCAGCCAAATAACCACGACGCCGAGGATCAGTGTAAAGTGAAATCAGACTTTCAGGGGGGGCTTTGCGTCGTGGGATAGGTCTTCCTGTAATCAAGTCTCAGTAAGATCGGATGTCATCTAATGCGGTAATACTAACGATATACTTGAGATCAAGTAACAAACTTTTTAATTAGGAGAAATAATTTAAGATAAAAGTGAAATATTGAAATTTGAAACAACGCTTCAGAATGATTTAACGTGAGCACAAACTAGATTTTCTAAAATAAATTAAATCCAAGAGTTGGAAAAAATGCAGGCTTTTTTTTTGTACCTGATAAGAACCATTTTTCTGGATCAACAGCTGCTTCTAAAGCCGCCGCATCATAATATGCAACTCTGACTCTACCTCCAGCTTTTTCCACGGCTGCAATTGCAGTTTCTGAGGCCCACTGTACTTCCAAATTTATAGCAGTGGCAAAACAATCGGCACCCTAAAAAAAGCTAAGTAACCAGCTTTCTGAAATCAAAACAAATATTTGAACAATTTAATACATGATATTTATTCAAAATGAATATCATAACTCCAATTCACAGTCTAATAATCTTCCAATTTGCTCGAACATGTTCATAATTCCCACATGATACTCAATAAATGATTCCTATTATTCAAGCAGAGCAATGGATTTTTTTTCTTCATGAATTACAGACAATTTCAAATGTAAAGTAAAATTTAACTTCTAAGAAATATGCAAAACAGATGCACTATCACCTGATCTGTCAGCTGTACTCCGAACTGTCTCAATGAAGGTTTACAATGATATCTTCGAGTATTGCATAGAGCAGTGATATCGATCAATGATGAAGTATCTAACCAACCCAAATCAATTAGTCGTTGTAACTCAACCAACGATAATGGTGGATATTCTCGCCTTAAGCTAAAAAATCATCAAACTTCTATTAAAATTCCCTTTAAAACAAGAAAATTTGCATTTTTCGTGTAATAAAAAAAAAGAAAACTGGATAAGAAAACAGGACAAGAAAGTGAACATTTTCATGGAAAAGCAACGATACAGAAATATGTCTAAAAGTTAAGTATAAAATTATCTTGAAAGTATATCCCTCAAAGCTATTTAAAGATTTAATTATTCACTTCCAGTTAACTGTATTGCACGAAATATCAGAATGATGTGAAGCCTGAAAAAATAAGAACATTAAATGATATAGCAAAATAATCAGTTGGAAGTAAAGAAATCACGAAATGACCTACTTAATATCACCGTTAAAATGTTCTTCGCCTGGAAAAAGACGTTGCCATGGTTGATAGAAATTACCCCAAATCCATCCAAGTGGAGGTTTCGCAGCATGCTGAAGCTCACCGATTGTATGTCCAGCTTGATTGTGCAAGGAAGACTTTATTTGACGACGCTTAAATAAACTCGAATATTTAACTAATTAACCATTGCGAAAAAAATTAAATCGAAGTTGCTGCCAATTTCACTCGAATTGCATGCGAGAAATGCGTCATGCATCATCTTGAAGTAAAAAAAAAAGAAAGTTGTAATGATATAATATCTTGTAGACGCAATATACAAAGGTATCACAAGAAATCGTCATAAAAAAACTTTCTTCTTAGCTATAACAAATTAACACAAGATCATTTTTCAATCAAAATTCTAGCAAAAAAAAAGAAGCAATTCGTTTAGTAGAAATGATGGAAAAATGAATTGTTAACTGAATCAAATTCACATTTTACTAATCTCGGGCAACAGTTCATAACAAATTTCATACCTGAGTTCTAGCACCAGGATTATCTCGAAGATCTTGTCTTTGCAAACGGCTTGCATTTTCCACATAACGCAAAGCACGTTCACGTGCCGATTTAATTACCTTTGAGGCCATATTTTACAAAGTGATCTAAATAATTCACGCATAACGCAAGCAAACAAGCACATCAATCCATGCATACATTTCGAATTTTCAATATTGGTTATATACCATTCCATGAACTGATCGAGGTAAGCAAATTTTTTATTAATAATGATATAAGACGCCCTTGAACGTGTAACAATGTTGACATTGATATTAAATATTTCATTGTGAACTATAAATAATTCAAAAACTGCAAAGGAAGGCTAACTCAAAATATATAATCAGTACAGGATCGTTTACCTTCCATTTAATACAAGAAACCATGAATCAAAAAGCAGTTTGAACTTCTTAATTTAGAAATTATAACCCATCTTATGAAATCCGGTAATAAGGTGAATCTAATTCCCTCAAACTGTTAATGTGCAGGACAATTTTAAATTAACACTGGTTTGTAAAAGTTTCACTTAACTGGTACTATATTCAAACTGCATGAAATGATGAAAATTAAACTCCGAAAAAGACAAAGAACTATATTTTTGAAGTTTTTAGTAAAATGAATACCAACCAGAGCATCAACACCGAAGTAATTTGCTGCAGCAGTTTACATTGCCATTGCAAGGAATGAATAATAATAATAATTGATAAAAGTTATTGCAACCACAATAAAATCAAATGCTAACAAATATAGATGAAATTGGAGGGATACTGCATAACAAAATGAATTATGAGTATCATACCGAAAAATAATTTTTTTCTTTTTGATTCACCCATGAGTTAGCATTTTATGGAATTTCGTATTACATTAAAGAATAAATTTACAGTTTTTGCTAGCACCTTTCTCAGTAGCATGCAAAAACGATATGCAACAGATGCAAATAAATGGATGAAATGCTCTGGAAATAAAAGTTAAAAGATGAAGCTAAAAAATTCAAACATGAAGTAAAAGCCAAAGATGAAAAATTATAGGATTTTGCAGTGATAAGCCTGAAAAATATAAACAATTAATGATATACTTATGTTTTACTCAATAAATTTAAACTATGTAAAGTTACATTCTATCCAGAATTGAAATTCGCAAAAAGAAAAGTGATATTTTTGATATACCAGCTTGATCTACACGAATGATATATAGTGAGAAGGTTGCAATGGAAATAACATTTTAAAGCTTGAATATTTGAAATACAAAAAAAAGAAACAGGAAAGAAAATTTTTCAAGTATCACTGAAACCGTGAAGCCTGTACAAGTAAAGAAAATTAAGTGCACAATTGATAAAAAGCTAGAAAAAAGCTTTGAAGATGGACCAAAAATAATCAGACATTTAAAATACTAAATCTACTTTCATTTAATAGAGTGAAAAAATGTATCACTGATAATTCCCCAATAATTTTAACATCTTTTTTTGAAAAGGAGAAATATTGAGCAAGGAAAGAAAACCATAAACTGCACAAATCAAAAAGATATTTTTACTCAAATACTTGATAAGCAAGACCACTGAAACGTTGTCGCTTCCAAATAAAATACACAATGCCAACACCAAATGCTGCACCAAGCAAAAGCATAAAGAAGCCAAGAACAAACATCGAACCACCTGTATAACCACGAAAAGTGGGTAATGGCAACGGCGCCCATACTGATGGGATGATACCCAAACTTGCTTTTGAAAGACTGAGCATCTAAAAAAAAACCAAAGAAAGAAAAATAATGAAAGAAACATTTTATTTAGGAAAAACTTGGAAGTGTACAGTGGGACATTCTACTAGCCAATAAATTCATCAGATGAAAAACCAATCAGTCTCATGGATGTCCTTTGTTAAATAAATGAACATTGTCACTCTTCAAAAAACTTGTATGTTCGTGTACAATATGCTATAAATTAAAATATCTTTACGTAACTTTTTCATTTATATAGAATTTGATATAAAACAACTATCATTGTGATTATAAAAGAAGGAAATCCTTACCACCATACGATGACCAATAAAAATAGGGAATTTTATATCCTTTTCCTTCAATGTTGCATTTAGTAGGTTAACAGCTGACTCAGCACTTGTCTCATTCTAAAATAACAAAGTTTTTAGAGAGCTTATCAATGAAATTTAACTTGTACCAAAACTCATTATTAGAACTTTTGAAAAAAAAAAAAAAAAACATTGGATAACGAATAAAGAATTATTTTTTAGTTCTTCAAGAATTCCATGACGATAGTGTTGGAACAGCCCAAGAATTTGGATGAGTTAAGAAAATGTCTAACTCAAAACAGAAATACATAAATATTTACGGATCTATTCCATGCATTTGCTGGTTTAACACCAGATGCTTCACCAACAACGAAGAATGCAACAACGTTCTCTTGAATCTGCTTAAACTGAAATGATGTTTTCTAACTAGCATAAAAACACAATTAGCCATTTGCTCAAGGAAATATCAAGGTTACAAATATGCACCTATTTCAAAGAATTAAAATTGGAAAAATCATTTAAAAAAAAAAATTTAGCTAACGAAGAAATTGGCAATTCGGAGCACAGAAACATTAGCAACATGTGCTACAGCTTCTCGTAAACCTTCTCGAACTCTTCCAATTCCAAAACTTTCCAAATTTTTCAGCGTCGCTTAAAGAAGTTACCGATGCATAAGTAACGATTTCGGTGTAAAAATAAATGAAAATAATGTTTTCAATCTGATATAAGAAAACCATTCAAAAATTGAAGTTGCTTACTATTCTTGATATTGATATACAGATAACTGTCTTCAACAAGCTTAAGGCACGGATAAATGGAAAGTGAGGTCTGCAAAATTCCGTCTCCTGAATCATTTTTGAATGAATGCAGACGAATTACCGTTTTCGTTTTCTTGCCTGATTCGTTCTAAAAAAAGAACATATATCAGAAATTCCTGACGAATACTTTTAATGACTGAAGTTGTGTAATGCAAATTTTATTAATAATTGTACATACAGCCAACGAATGGGATGGAAATTATTTTTAGATAATACACCTCGTTCAAATTTTAATTTCTAAAATACCATATGATATTGGATTATTGAATGAAGAAAAGGTGCCGCAGCTGTTTCCACAACCCAATTTTCCGTCGTGTAAAGCAGTTCAATAACTGTTGAGGTTGTAGGTGAATTACCGACTTTTGTAACATAAACATCCAATGGTATATCATCAACTATTCGCTGAAAAATTTTATAAATTCAAACGAAAATTTGTGGAACGAATTTCATTGAAAGAATCCAATATTTTGGATTGAATTACAAAACGAAGACACAAAATCCTCACTTTTCCCGCATAATAGAATACTGAGTCATTTGAGCTCAAGAATAGTTGCGTTGGTTTCTTCAAATCAATTTCTTTCGTTGATGCATTCACCGTTTGTACATCGCCAAAATTTGCATCGATTGCTGAGACAGAGCTACAAACATTATTGTCTCCATCTAGCAAATACTGAAGTCCTGCAAATCATAAAAAACCTGCTTTATTAATTTATTTATGAATATTCATGTGCTGCATTTGGTAACAAAAAGGTGAAAAACTTTGTACTTCAAATCACCAGCCTAATTAATATTAAATTTTATACATTACTATTACTGGCAAGCAGTTGTATTTTTCGAAATCCCGAAAACTTCGGTTTTTCACTAATTTTCATTTAACTCTCAAATTTGAATTCCAACGAAAAAATCGAAATTCTGTTTTTAACTAACGAACCGTATTGGAAATCATGAATAACATGAATGCTGGTGATTCCTTCGGGAATTGTTGCATTTCCAATGAAAGGCGTAATTTTCCCTGATCGAGCATTTAAATGCATCCAAAATATGCGTTCATTACCATTGTAATACATCTGCAGAAATATGAATAAAGATTGAAAATACAATGTCGTTTACTAAATCAAAAAAAAACCTGGAGTTGATGCACAATTTGAGAATCCAATTTTTAAACATTATCAGAAAAGGAATTTCAGACAGTTAGGAAGAAAATTTTTCTTTGCAACTCTCAAGATTTTTGAAAAACCTAATTCTGAAAAAAAATCAAAGACAACACAATAAATTTATAAAAGTTTATTGTAACCTTACATCAATGTCGTGAACGACTTTGCCATCAACATCAATATAATCAAAGGACATTTCAAATTTATTCGGAAATATGGCAGATCTTTTGGTTGCAGGGAAACCGCTGCAGTACAATCCTTCCGGTAGCTGAGAAATTTTTGAAACATTAATATTCTTTTCAGAATTATGACCTTTCAAACCTTTCAAACGAACTAATCAGCTTCCAAAAAAGATCATGCTTAAAAAAACCGAAAAGAAAATTTGATAAACTGTAACGGGACATCACTTGCTAGTAAATGGAAAATGACAAAAATATTAAGATGAGAGCATAAACAGAATTTTAAAAGAAGCAGCCAAAATGCTCACTTCTGTCTCCAACTGTGCACCAGTTAACATCTCAAGTTGTGTAATCTCAAGAGAATCATGCCCAGTTAATATTAGTTTAGTATCTGAAACAAAATTATGATAGCATCAATAAGCTGATAAAACTATGTTTAAAGAGAAAGTATAAAATCAGCAGAAATATTAGAGAATTAAAAAGTCTCAAAGATACAAAAGTTTGAGAATAACAAAAGACATATTTTCAAGAACATACCGTTAAAAGTAGCCAGCTGCAAAGACAAAATATATGGATTTTTAACAGTTGAGGAGTATGAGTTCTTAGAATGTTCACCTGCATATGCTGCTTCCAACTAAAGTGCACTCTTTCAAATGATGCGCAAGCAAAGACTTCACTTATTCTTAACATATGTTGCAATAAAATTTAAACTAAAATATTCGCAATATCATGCTAATAAAATCATTATCAGACTTCTCGGGTAACTGGAAATAGAGTTAGTCTTTCACACTGCGTACTATTCAAAAGTTGAAATTAACAGAAGATTTTAACTTACACTACCTGTAACGTTCTATTCTTTCTTTTCTGACAACCAAGCCATAAAACTGCATCAATTCCACCAACTTCTGTTTTACTCCGCAAATAACCAAGGTTGAAATTGGCGTAAATGATGGATTTTATCAATTCAGCCATTGTTATAATAGTAAAGTTGTAGCTTTCCGCAAGCTGTGGCTCTAAATATATTGCTGGTAGTGCTGTAACATTTGGCAAAGCCGCACATGAAGTTTCTGAAAATTAATTTCTGAAAATAAGCTTCTGAAAAAGAAAACAAAAAATTAAAATTTAAAGGAAATAATATTCGAAACGATATAAATAAAAGAATTATGAAATAAAATAAGTTAAAACCAATCAAGCAAGTTTACTACTGCATGAATGTTCAGAATCTCACCACTCTATATAATGACAGATTCTCCAGTCCTACATAAATAGCAGTCTTTTCCAAACATTCTTACTTTTCATTAATCTTATTGACTTGATTGATAAACCACCAAATACATGGTCATAAAAAAGTAAATAAAATTCTTGGAAAAAAAATTTTTCTTTCTATAAAAAAACTATTCTTACCATTATAGGTATAATTGCGGCTTCCCAGAATGAAATGAGTTGTGCCGGTGTAACGCGATTCAATCGTAATGTGAGTTTCATTTGCTGTATGCCTTTCGGTAATCAAACTTGTTACATTTGTAAGCCAATTGGTGCGTCGAACCACTGTCTACAATGCATAAATTCTCGGAAAAAAAAAATAAGAAATAAACAAGTGGATCAATATAATGCTAAAATATAGCTACATTCCAACTATTACTCAGCTGTCGCCTAAAAAAGAACTGCTTTTAACATTTCTTCCCAAGCATCAATCAGTCAAGCAATCAGTTATCAGACTTCAAATATTCAGAAATGATAATAGCAATATATCCTATATATATCATAAGCTTACCTTATAATTACCATTCAATGTCAAAGTTTTTGGAAGCGAATCCTTACGTGATCCATTTACTTGTTCTCCACATTTAAATTCGTAGCAATTCACTAACACAGCTGGTAATATCGTAAACCAATACCAAATCATAACTGCTAAGAAAAAAGTAAGTACTGAGTAAAAATTTACAAAGAGTATAGCAAATAAATCATATCATTTCCAACAATGATTGGAATATATTTAAAAAAGCATAGAAACAATTATTAGAATATATTAAACTATGATGGAAAGGTAGATAATAAGCCAATAGTCCAGGAACGTGAACAGACTACACTGATAGTTAGGTGTTATTTAAAATCAGTGGAAACAAAGGACATATAATAAGTAAACCTAAGTCATTTAACTAATAAATTACAATGAAATTATGTATATTATATATCTAAAATCATTTTTTTTTTCATATAAAAATTTGCAACAAAATTTCCGAACGTCAAACAATGAAATTTACCTTTTTATTTTTTTCGATGTAATAAGTCAAAACAATATTATGCCTGTTTTGCAGGAATATAGCTATTCTAACCGCAACTGTACCCACCGAGAATATTGTCATCCTCCCAGAGCATTGGCATTGAGCCAATGATAGCAGTACACTGTGATTCAAATTATCATTCTTGCTTATCATGCTTGTGTTACAATAGTCTTGAGTAAGTATGCTTCTGACCTTTGACCCTAGTTAGAATTCTATTGTATTGTAAACTTATGCGTGTCAAGTTTGTGTCTGATAACGTGTAGTGATAGTATGATGCTATTTATTATCATATGACATTTACTTATAATGCATACATTTTATATGATGCACTCTTTAGCTCTAGGAAAACGACTGACGAAAAGTGAAATTTGTAATGTTGAAATTGTATTATTTATTATTTCTTTTTCTTTTTCACTTCTCCAACTTCTAGTTACTACTTTTTGTTCCTACTATTTGTCACTCTTTTCATTTTTGTATAACTTTCGTTTAGCAAGAAAACTATTCAATTCTAAAATAATTAATTTGACTAAAATAACATACAAAAAAGTTGTAAGAATTCATAATGGATTTTTGGAATATATGTTACATGTTCTGAAATTTTCATGGTATTCCCTCTTATTTTATATTCTTCACAAATTGTAGTAAAATAGATATCCTTTACAGTAGTTCAAGAAGGTAATCACATTAGTTCTGAACTATTCAACAGATCACATTTTATGTGTTCGTGAATCCTTAACGGATCACAACTTCTATTTTGAAATTTTCGATTTTGTTAAACTTCTTGTTACAGTTAATGAAGGAAAGTTATTTTCGACGAAAATAATTGTGGAATATATAAATTCTGAAATTTTGGCATTTCATGAAATTGGCAAATAAATTTTTATTTTAAATCATTTATTTGCATTTAGCTTTCAGTACTAATACTACTATTATCATTATTACTACCATTATTATTGTTGTTATTGTTTTATTATTATTACCATTTTTATTAGTATTATTATTATTCCCATCATTTTATTATTATTATCATCATTATTACTGTTATTTATTGTTGCTATTGTCATTATTATATCATTATTACTTTTGTTTCCGTTATTATTACTATTATTGTTAAAGTGTTCTTCGTTACTATTATTATTACAATTATTTTTATTGCTGTTATTTTTATCCTTATTATCAGTTTTCAGCTTCTTCTTTCACATTAGTATTTCATTAGAATAATGCCAGCAAGCCTTTCAGCAATAGGAAAATCAGGATGGGATGGAAGCTGGATAGTATACCAACTGCTTTTGTCGATGGAGTAATATCAATTATAATCTTTTTGAACTCCTGGAAAATTTGAGTTCGATTAAAAAATTTGATTAAATATAGAATATTTTAATCAATCAATATTTGTGGACTGGTTTTAGTCGTTTTTACTTTCATTACTTGTAATGAACTGTTTCTGTATTCTTATTATTATTTTACTATTATTATTATTATCATTATCATTATCATTAATATTATCATTGTTATTATCATTATTATTACTATTATTACTATTATTATTATTATTATTATTATTATTACCATTATTATTATTATTATCATTAATTTTTCCAAAGCATAAAAGAAGTAGGGATTATTATTATTATCATTAATATCATTATTATTGTTATTGTCGTTACTATTATTATCATTATTAATTTCATATCATTTATGTGAAGCTTTCATAGTTTTACAGTTAATCAATTAGGGTAAATTTGAAACGAAGAATAAAAATTTTCAACCAACCACAGGGTTGTCCTCATCATACGCATATCCTGACTCATTAACTTCAGCCGAAGCTGAAAAAAAAATTATTTTGTGTTAAATATTATATCTCTTTAATGTAAAAATTCTGATGGTTGTTAGAAATGATCCATTAATAATTTCAATTATTTTATGCTTGTCCTAAATCAAAACGAATCTCTAATTCGAGCCAATCTTCAGGATAATCATAATAGGCGAGAATTTTTTCAAGGCAATTTTTCAAATTTTTTTTTGCCTTTCTAATCTTATTTTTGTTTATTAAATTTGAAAGTCATACATTTCACTTTCTTGAAATCTGCCTTTATAACATTCTTCTGGGGATCAGATTCAGATATTTCTGATTCCTCTTCTTGTTCAACAGGTTTTGATGCATAAATAATCTTTTCTTTCTGGCCATTTGATAGAATTGATACTTCTCTAATATCATTCCGATCAGCAGAGTCATCATCAACTACATCATCGTTATCACTATAATCGGCTTCGATATGAGATTCTTGTATTTTCAAATCCGATTTCCTGTCAATCGCATCTTTTCTTTCTGGAACAACATCGCTGTCGGATTGATCAGAATCTATTCCTTTTGGTTCAGTTACACGATATCCTTCATCTTGAGGTGAGCCACTGGAGAATTCAAAATGATTTTCTCCACTTGTCGTTTCATCTACAGTATTTTCAGTTATTTGTTCATCAGATGTGCTTGTTGCAAGATTGTTATCTTTTGCTGATGTGCTTAATGAATCTGGCTGTTTGTTCATTGCAGTCACCTTCTTCTCTGTAATTACTGGTTGTTTTTCCTGTATAATTTTCTTTTTCTTCTTTATTATTTTTCTGAAATATGTACCATTAGCGAAATAATTTATTATACTCATCGTTTCATTTGAAAAATTTCCAGTTAACTGTCCTTTAATATTTGCGCCATCCATTGTTGTGTTTAGTGTTGTCTTCACAACAGTCTTCTTTCGTATAACTTCTGCTTCTCTTCCTTGTCTACTCTTAATCATTGATTTTTGTGCTGTTCTAAAATCTGAATTATTATCGAATTCAGAAGAATTTCCTATATTCATCGTTTCATTTGTTTTCAGTTCTTTTTTAATTTCATCTCTGAGGTTAGAATTCATCCCATCCTCGAATTCATTTTGTGCATAAGTCAGAGAGAGTGGATCGATTAGGTGACTGTATTGTGGATTTCGACGAACAGCATCACTGGTCTCTTCAATCAATTTTTTCAATTCCAAAGTGAAATTATTGATTTCCGAAATATTTTCCGCATTTAAATGCTGTTTTTTCCTGCTATTAAGCTGATCATTCATGATATTATTTTGCTTCTGAAATTTTGCAATTTCATTTCTAAAATGTGTCAATCCGTCTTCTTTATTGTAACCTTCATCGTGTTGTCGTGTGTTTGCTTGAGAGCGATTAGCTAGTGACATTGAGTGTAAGTATGCCAATAGTGATACTGCCTTGAATATATTTCGCAAATTAGATGGGTCATATAGTTCCACTCTGGTTGCATTTTCCGGATTGGTTTGTCTATCTACAGCTTGGTTCTCACCAAAAGCCAACATTGCTGGCAATTTTTGAATAAGGGATTTCACATATTTCTCATCATTTTCTTCACTTTTCTGTGAATCATTTTTTCCTTGAACAATAAATTTGCCATGCCGGTTATCAATTCTGTCTAAATATAAATAAATTCTATCTAAGTGTACGAATTGTTGATCTATTTCGATTTACAAACAAAATTTCCTTCTTTTCTACGATGTTCTTAGTGCTTTTTTTGACTTATTAAATCTAGAATCAGAATCTTGGATTAATTTTCTATTTATTTACTGTTAATAAATAGAAAATGGAGGGAATTGTTTTGTTAGTTAGTTTATCTAATTTTTCAAAAAAATATAACATATTGGAGAACAGGTACAAAAAGAAAAAGACAGGTATATGATATAGTATTTCTAGGAAATTTTTAATCTTTTGAAGAAATAATTGGATAATTTGTTCATTTTTTTTTTTTTTTTGTCTTTTGGAATAAATGTTATCCTAAAGGAGGTGATAGTAAAAAATTTTGTTCTATTAGTAGTTTATATTTAAGGAAAACAAGTCACATATATGTGTGCATATGTTTAAAGTATTAGCAAAAATTATAATTTGCATAATAGCAAATTATTTATCACATAGTGTGGAATGTACACTTTCGGTAGGTTAACGAAAGCTAAATAGTTAAAAGAATGAAAGTAATAAACATATCTTTTACTATAAATATGTTTTTTCGTTATTGAAACTATGCAAGACCGGGTTCGGTAAGCAACAGTATTATTATTTAGAAAAAAATCTATATTAAACATATTATCTGAGTTTCACTGTCTAATGAATTTCACTACATATCAAAAGTACGCAAATTGTGCTATGAAACCATTTATTGGCTTCATCTTCATGTCAAATTTCTATGGTGAAGAAAAAATCGATTATTCGGCTGTCTAGAAATTTTTCTGTACAAAAAAAAGAAACGTTTTTAGGTTAATTAACATCACAGTGAAAACATTTTTTTTTTTTTATATTTCAAATTTTCGTATTTTAAACACATACCAATAATACTAATTAAACCAAATAAGATTAGTAATTTTGGCAACATTATGGGTAAAAAAGTCTTTTTATCACCGTCAAATTCGCCCAGTAAAAAAAAAAAAGCTACACTTCAGCTAAAAAAGTGTAGAAAATGAAAATAACATTGTTACATCTTCCTTTTATATCATTTATTTAGCTGAAATTATTGTACGTAATGCAAGTATTGTATACATTATCTAAAATTATAAGCATAGCAGTTGCAAACAGTTATTCCAAATTTCTCTCTTTCCGTGTGTTATAATGAAACGAACGATTGTATACGGCTTTTTGAATTAATGATTGCATACAGTTTTCCGAATTTTCCTCTCCTTGCGATAGTAATGCATTCTTGGCTAATTCTAATCAATCAAAAGCAATGAATAATTCCATTTCTAGACATTTTAGTTACTTTAACTAATAAGTATTGATGTATAGCACTAATGAACTAGCTTAGTAGAAATTTTACGGTAAAGAAATGGGATGATATTTATTTTTATGTTTAAATCTTTGGGATAATTATTTCACCTTGGTAATTTTAATTATATTTCTAATTTTAACTGTAATTATTTGTTGTAGTTTTACGACCTTAATAATTTTAATTATAAATGGTATGATTAAGTTACAAATCATTTCCGATGTCAATTTAATGCTATAGTATTAATCTTGGATTGATTCCGTTCTTGATATCGAATTATTTCGAATTTCTAAAAATGCTACTTTTTGTCCTTGCGAAATATTCTTTTCTTCCTTAGATTTTTCGGAATTAAAATATTATTTAAAAATTTTCTGAAGTTTTGGTAAAGAAATTTTGGATAATGTAAAGTTATTAATAGGAATTGTAGAATTAAAATATTAATATTGTCGCTTTAAGTTAGGATCGTAATTTAAAATGATTTAATTTAGACTTAGATTAAGCTAGCAATAAAAATATTAGCTTACCGAATTACTAACCACAATTGTAAATATCTTAGTTTTTAGCAATAATGCAATTTTGCAGTTTAGAATGTTATGCGTGCACGAATTTGATAATAATATTAATGCTTACTTTAGGCACGAAATCTTTATTTATATCTTCGATTAATAAAGAATGGATCCAACTAATTGCTAGAAATTCGAAAACTGAAGCAATGAATTTCGATTTCTAGCATTAAGCCGGCAATTGGAATGTATATCCGGCCGAAACCTGCAAATCTTGCTACACTTATCATCATAATATTTTTCTTCTACCTGGGATATCTGATTTGGGAAAAAGAAGAGCATTTTCCGGATGTTGTTATTGAGCTCCATGATTTACTAAGGTTGTTAATGGTTCATTTTTTGAATTAAGTTAGAAGAGTTGAAACCTGTTAAATATTCAAGTTTTTTTTTTACTAAAGTCATAATTCTTACACTTAACCATTCTGAGACTGTAGTGTTTGCAGCTCTTTTTGAGTCGAGGATGAAATAATAATGATCAGATATATCTTACAGAGAAACCGGCATACCTTATTTAATTTTTTTAACAGTTAATATCGTATTTTTTAAAAAAAAATCGTTTACAGCTATGTGCTTCTAGCTACAGAACTAGGTGGTCGTGCTATCCTAGATGTTAGTGATGGGGGAAAGTTAAATGCTTTTAAAAAAGCTGAGACGGATGTTGGTAAACCGGAACTTTTGACGAGAGCTGATTTGCTGTCAAATCAACTTATAATCAATGTCCTGAAAAGATATCCAGGTTTAAGGGTAGATTGCATTCGTTTCTTTCAAATTATTGGAGGCCGAGAAAAGATTTATTTATTTCAGTAATAGATCAAAATTTTCAGTTTTTGGACGAACTTTTAGATTTCAGCTTCCAAATATAATAAATTTTTTTTTTTTGATTTTATTTAACTTTTGTACTTTTAAAAAGTACAGTGAAGTGCATGATATGAATTCAGATCATTTCTGAAGAAAAAGAAGAAAAGCTGAATGCACTGGATTATGAAAAATATATGTCACAACAGCAGGAACTTTATGAAGATGTGAAAACAATTGTTGATTTATTTCCATCAAGAAAATATTTGTTATCAAAGTTAACTGTTTGGGTTGATCCATTGGATGCAACGCAAGAGTTTGCAGGTAACATTTTGGATTTAACTTGCATAACTATCTAAATAAATGCAAAAATTTCTAACTCCTTTTCTGTCTAAAATTTTAGGAATGAAAATTTGTAGTTTAAATATCTTTTCATTACTTACTGATGTTCGTCCATTGCTTCGTGGATTAATAAATACATGAAAATTTTAACGAGAGTTTAATTATGCTTATATTACATATCTCAAAACCCATTAGTTTTTTTTTTTTATCTTCTTTGTTTATATAAAGCATACAAGTTTATTCAGTACTGTTTTGTCTAGAAGGTTTGTTTGAATATGTTTCTGTAATGCTTTGCATAGCATTGGATGGCATACCTATCTTTGGTGTCATTTATAGACCGTTCACTGGTGAAAAGGGTTTTTTTTTTTTTTTTTTTTTTTTGCTATGTTGCAATTATTTGAAGCAAACTGCAGTTTGGTGATCAGTAGTAATTAGATTACAAAGTGAAGTAATTCAGAAGTAATCAATGGTTTTTCAATCTTCGTTCATTTGTTTCTTATGTCATCAACGCATTTCAAATTTATAAGTTCTTATTTCTCAGTTTATGGTTTAAATGAATTTGGAGTCGTGAAAGGAAATGGTGATAAATGGGATCGTATGATTTCGAATAACAATTCAAAATTGATAATGGTTTCCAGGTAATTACTCTTTTAAGGTATTGTATTTTCGGGATTCTTGGAGGATTTGCTTTCATCTATTTAAATAAGTCATGGAGTTTTATGAATGGAAAAGATAATGACCATTCTTGGTCAATAATAATGCATTTAATTGGTCGTAGCAGAATGACGAAAGCTTTAAAATTTCGGTACTGTCATTAACACTTGTGTTGGATATAGAAATAGTATGGCGACAGTGTTTCCATGAATCTTTCCTTTCTGTGTGTCTTGGAATCTTTTCTTTTTTAAAAAAGCAAAACAAAGAAGAAAGTTTTGGTAATAGAACTGCAGACATCTTTTTATTCTTCGAGTTTCACAAGAGTAAAAGGATTCGAAAAGAAAAAATATTTGATTCATTTAATAATGGATTCTTTTTAATGGTTCCTTTTCCAGATCACATGCCGGTAATGTAAGAGACGTGGCACTGAATGCCTTCTTTTCCAAATTTAATGTTGAAGCAGCTGGTGGTTCTGGTTATAAATCGTTGAGGTTGTTGAATGGCACTGGTGGTAAGTTCACTTGTATGGCAAGAAATCAATGAATTTCCATTTAACATTTACTTTTCTTATTTTAATTTAGTTGCTGATATCTTTTATAACTTTAGAAAAGTGTATGAAATTGCGATGCCTTTTGAAGACTTAAACTCACTGTGCCTTCCCGGATCTTTTTAAGACTTCCTGCCTAGTATTTTGTTGTGACTATTTTACATGTTTAAACCACTTTAGAGCTGTATATACACAAGACTGCCATTAAAAAATGGGATACCTGTGCCGGTGATGCTTTGCTTCGATCGATTGGCGGCTTAATGCTTGATTTCAATGGTGATATGTTGAGTTACGATCCAAATGATGATTATGTCTTACGAAATGGTTTAATAGCTGCTGCACAGTATCCTTTCACTTATTATCAACAGTTGCGACAACATTTGAACAGCACTTCGATTAAAGAATAGAATTCTCAGTTAAATCTAGAAAATTCCAAGCAGTGTTTCAAATTTTCTAGCTTCTAGAATACCTCATCTTTTTAGGATTTTTTAAATCACTTTTCTTGTTAAATGGTTTTAATTTAATGAACTATGCTATTATTAAGGCATCTTTTGCTTATTCTTTTCTGATATGCCATAAATGTATGCTCAAGTATTTAGCTTTTGAAGTATCTCATTTTTTTCTTAGTTTCTTGACCTTTTTCTTTTTGAAACTTTGAATTCTAACTCATTATTTTTAAACTACTATTTACACCTTAGAATTGTTCATCCGAAGTAATGCTATTGTCTTTATTCTGATGAAAGCTGTAAGGCGTGGGATTGTTACATACATAACTTATTTCCAAATATTTTAATTTTTCACACCAGTGTTCTCTTGGTACAAGAAAGTTAAAAGAGAAGTACATAGAATAGTGCTAAGATAATATGCAAATATTGGCACATACTTTTTTTGGACTAACAGTTATACTGATTGAGATTTGAATGAATTAAAAATTTTCAACCCATTCATCCAAATTCGTTGAATGCATTCTTTTGATTCTGCCCTACAATAATTGTACTGATGGATAATATTTTTAATATACAAATAAAAAAGGAATTTCACGTTTGACATTTAATTATTCCATATCGCTAATGCATAATTATGATTTGTTTGATTTTCATCCTTCATTTCTGACTGAAAAATTATTACAAAATTGTACAGGGTAGCTGCATTTCAAATTTTGCTTGCTTATTTTTTTGCTTTTTTTTATTTGTTTACTTTTCCTTATTTTTTAACTTTAGCGTCCAATAAGTTGGTCGCAGTTTTCAAAATTAGATTAGACTTTTCTTGCTTACTTGAATGCTTACTTTTATATTTACAGTGTTTCTTTATATCGTTGATAACTTTCATTTGTTGTTAGATAATTTCTTTTTTCTTTTTTGTTGCAAGCAATGTTTTACAATTTTTTTTTTCATTTTTTATTATCTATACTTGGAAGATCACTTGATCATCCTCCTGAAACTATCCAGTGCAATTTATATTACCGGTTGTTTGACGTTATGTTAGGTTATATTTTGCATATATCTCTCCCAAAAATAAAGTCATGATATAATCTTTAGTTTAGACTGTCCATCGTTTCCATAAATTGTTTTCGTTCTTTGTTCATCACTGCAACAGTTAATTGATTCAATTTAATTAATCTTATCATTTATAATTCCTATGTATTTGCAAAACAAAATTATTGTTAAATAAGCATTGCGAAACTATATATTACCTTAAATTGCACTAAATTA